TACTTGGATGGGACTACTCACGACAACGAGCACTGTGCCTGGTAGTGTTTGCAAGTATTTTGGTGCTAAAACAGCTGTATCATTCTACCGCACCTGTGCCTGCATTTCAACGGTTGGTGAAGTGATTCCTATGTAAACTTGTAAAGTGAATTGGTTTCCTTTGTGGTGAAATTTATTATATAGAGGTAGGTTATTATGATGAAGCTGATGATGATGCAGACACCTTCAACATGAAAGCCAGATTTTTAATCAAATCTAAGGATATGTTGTACAGTCATGTTGACTAATATTAATGCTTACTTTAATAAAACAGGTTCATGGTCAGTGGGAGCTCCAGAGCCGGCGCTTGAGGCAGGGGCAGCGCACGGAGCCCCCCTGGCTGCGCCTCCGCCTAGGGGTTGAGGGACATGTTGCCGCTTCCAGGAACCACGTAGAGCCAGGTAGGGAGCCTGACAGCCCTGCTCCAACCGGACTTTTAATGGCTTGGTCAGTGGTGCTGACTAGAGCTGCCAGGGTCCCTTTTCGACTGGGTGTTCTGGTCGAAAACCAGACGCCTGGCAACTCTAATCAGGGGCCCTGGAAAAACTGGCACCCCCTATGCCCCAACCCTTCTCCCTGGCTCTGCTCACCAGGGTTGGGATGGGCTTTGTCATTCCCATACTGAATCGTCCCCCTCTTCCCCCTGCATGTTTTGGCTCATGGAGAGCAGACAGAGCAGGATGGAGCACATTTTTCCCTACACTCTGGGTCCTGCCTCAGCAGCTGGACACAGCCTCCTGGGTCCTAGTGCCCACCTGTTTCCTCTACAACAGTGAGTGTGTGCGGGTGGGGTGGGGGGCAGAACAAGGGAGACAGGGTGAGAAGAAAAGGGAGAGGAAGGAGGACGGGATGAGGACGAGACAGGGATACGGGAATGGGTTGGTGCAAGAAGCATGTAGCATACCCTGGGCAGCAGCAGCCCCAGCAGGGAGGCAACAACAGCAGTGCCAGAACAGGGACATCACTGCAGCAGTCGGTGCCGCAGTGGTTGCCAGCAGCAGCTGGGGCTCCCCCGCTGCACCATCCTGTCCCCCCCAGCACTTATAGCCCAGGTACCACTGTAGGCCGAGGGTGAGAGCCAGTGAAACAAGGGGACTGACTTCGGCATGCATGTGTGCGTGTGTGCATGGGCACGCTTTGTCCCCACAAATATAGCAGCCAAACTACACCTATGGCCCAGGACTGAAGGAACTCTAGCTCCCTGCTGTGGCCTCAGGGCTGGGGGAGCTCTCACTTCCTGCTGTGGCCCAGGGCCATGGTGGGGAAAGGGGACGGAGCTTCTCCAGTCTTGGGGCCACAGTGGGTGGGGGGAGGAGGGGATGAAGGAGTAAGGTTGTGGGGCCACAGTGGGGGGGGCAGAATGGGGCTGTGTGTGGAGAAGGGACAGAATGGGGTGGGGGCTGTGGGCGGGGCCACAGGCAGAAGGGTTAGAACGGGGGCAAGACTGCAGGCGGAAGGGGTTTGGGGTGGGGGGCCCCCCACTTGCTCTGGCAAAACCTTAATCTGCCTCTGGCTGGAAGAGCTTTCAGCCACCCTCCCACCCTAGCAGCGGGGCTCTTTTGCTATAATGAACCCGTGGCTATAACGAACAAATGGCTTGGATCCTGATAGATTCATTATAGTGAGGGCATACTGTATAGCTACATCTCTCAGCAGTGTCGATTTTCTGCCCCCCCCAATATATGCAGACATACCGATCTAACTTCCTATTGTAGACCAGGCCCTAGTCTGCAGAGTTTCATTCTGTCAACCCTCTTGTTCAACATCGATACAAGGCCTCTAGGGAGAGTGTGAGATGATTTGGGTTGCAGTACCATATGCTATGCTGATGATATTCAGCTGTTTGGGGCAGATACTCAGCTGATATAAATCAGCATAGTTCCATGGAACCTGGACTCTGGTCTGCTTTCCCAATGCCTAACTTAGAGCACTGAAAGAGTTAAACTCAGTTCAGAAAAAGTGGATGTGACATTGTCAAGGCAAAGGAAGGCATCCTGAGAAATTGATGGGGTTACAAATTCTCTGTCCTATGCAGGGGTATTCCCACCTCTTGATTCAGATATCACAATTTCAGGGTATTATTGGACCCATCGCTGCTGCTGAATTCCAAGGTAGAAGCAAATCCCTGCAAACAACTTTCACAGATGGATTAAAACTGTTCTGTGTGAATGATTTGTTGTAGTAGGAATACAAAAAAAATAGTTTTTGTAAAGCATAAAACCCCTATAGAAATCCAGTCATACTGTTTACAGAAAGAATTCTGGACCATTATAAATTAATAAACATATTGCACCAGGGTATAACTTTACAGGAACATTGATACACACACATCAAGATAATTGAGAGTTAACCCAGATTCTGATCTCACACCATTGCAAGCCGAGTGACTCCACTGACTTCAAGGGACTCATTCTGGATTTAAACTTGGGTGAGGGAATTTAGAATCAGGCCCTTATCAGGCACTTTTATTAAATAAACGATGCAGAAAGGTATGAGTTAAAATCCATGCCCAGCATTCCAGGCTCAGATCTGAATGTTCCTTTTTTATTGATTGAGTTGGTAACATTTAAAAATGCCAAACTGATCTTTCCCTCAAAGGAGATTTAAAAACAAACAAACAAAAATCCCTTTGTGCTAAATTTTTTATATGACAAGCTTTAGCTTGGAGAAATATTTTTTTAATTGCAGCATTGCAACTCTCTGGAAATAGGAGTTTCTCAGGAAGTGCTGAGAAATCCTGATTGGGGGTGGGGAAGGGGAGCAAAAGCGAGGGCTTTCTTCTTCAGTGACCTTTCAGTGGATAAGGAAAGTCACAAAGCAATAAGTGAATGTCCCTTTGGAGATTATGAGTGTTCCTTGGGAAAAGATGATCTAGGCATAGCATCCCTAGCCCCACTAATCTCTGATGGATGGAATGGTCCCTTGGGCAACTGGGCATGAATTAGAGAAGCCTTCAGGGTCCTCTGACTTACTCCAGGGACCAGACCAGGTCCTATCCTTCCCCAGAATCTGAGAAATATGAAGATGGTTTAAGGTCACTTTTTCTAGCAACACCCTGGCAGGTCCTCCAAGACCTGAGAACCTGGGCCTACTCGTTATGTGGTGCTCATTACCATCGCATCTGCACACCTCTCAATAATTTATAAAGAAATAACAAAGACAGTTTCCTTTGCTTTCTTCACAAAAGATAGAAGTAAATTTCTTGATTAAATTATAGTTAGGGGGTTTTGATTGTTTGTTTTGTTTTATTTTTGTTGTTATGGGAGAAGAGCTTTTTGAGAGAAAGCTCAATCAAAGAAATGAGGTTTGCATTTAATTCTGTGAAGTTACTACTTTCTTAGCTCCTGTGGAATGAATTCCACAAGTTAGGTCCAAGCTCCTCTGAAAGTTAAGTCTCTAGCACTAAAAGGCATTCCTTCAATTAGCTGATCCCCAGGAGGGTTCTGAATACTAGGACAGAGACACTGACCTGAACTTTATTTATTTGGGAGCAAGTGCAGATAACAGAGCACTGCTGTGATAGGTCCATGGCAACCTATGTTGCTAAGCAGAAAGGCTGCTGCATTTTATACTAGTTGACGCTTTTTCAGGATGTGTGGCTTCATTCCTAGATAATACTTAGTTGCTATGCTCACTCTTAAAAATCCGAAATGCACGGACCACTATGGCCAAAAGGGTGGGCTGCAACCTTTAGATGGGTCACAGATAGAAGTGGCCTTTTTGCCACTGTGAGCAGTCCAAAAGACTCCAGGGTTGAAGACTGATTTAACAACCTGAGGGCAGATGCCTTAGTGGGGGGCACATTACAGAGAAGGTCTATTCTTTGAGGCATTTCCCTCTTCCCAGTAGTATCACCTCCATCTTACCAGAGCTCAGTTTTAGTCAGTTGTTGTTTATGTAAGGGCTGATTTCAGCTAAGCAAAGAGAAAGCTGGAAGATGGTGTTGTTTAGATCTGACATAAAGGAGATGTAGAGATGGGTGTCATCTGAGTACTGGTGTCACTTCAGACCATATTGTCCCCACCAGCTGTCCCAGTGTCCCATGTTGAATAATACAGGGGAGAGGATTGAGCTTTATAGGACTCTTCAAGTGAGGGCTCTACCTCTGCCAGATGTGCTCGCTCTCCATATCTGACTCAATTCCAGTGGCTGCCAGTTCCTGACTTCCTCCTTGAGCCAGGAACCAGACCTGGGGAGGTGAAAAGTCAGGCCAGGGTGGAGTGAGCCAGCAGATCTTACAGTAAGGTAGGGAGGCAAATTAGGGTTAGTGGCCAAGAGAGATGGACTGACATGATAAGGCTGGTGAGCTGATCAATATGGGGTCAGAGGGATAGACCAGGCGAACACTGCAGTTTTTCCTATCCCTATGCCACCTCTCAACCTATGTTTTCACACAAAACTGTCTTATTACACATCATTCTAATTTTGACACCTCCTCCCTACCATTCACCACTGAAGTGATAAGGACCTCAAACAGGATAGGATATAAAGTCCACTCTATAGGCCTGATCCTCAACGGTGCTGAGCATCCACAACTCTCAGCAATGTCAACAGAAGCTGTGGATGTCCCTCCCTGCCAGGGAGCAGGTCACGTATGTGAGGAAGACTAAATGCAAAGTTCCTGTTTTTATCATTTGGATTTGAGCGTCAAATCCACACCACACAGTGGTGAAAAACATCAGTATCAAATGGGTCCACCATCACACCAAATGTACAAAAGCAGTGAAAAACAATTGTAACATACACACTGGAGGTGATTTTACTGTTCACTTGGGATTGCAATACAAATATTTTGAAATAAAGAAAACAAAATGACCCAATCAATTCTAGTAAGTAAAAATGAATGAATACTAGCTAAATTGGCTCAATTTTCTCAAGAACATTTTTATTATAAAAGTATAAAACAATTTTCTTAAGACAAAATTTAAAAAGTTTATATTTTATATTTTCCGTCAGCTTACCTGGAATACCTTGGTGAGCAGAATTCTTATTCAACTGGGTGGCTTTTTTAGATTTGGTTTTGCTTTTTGTTTTTGTTTCACTTTGTTTTGTTCTTTTTTGCAAACAAGTAGTCTTCAGTGTTTTTACAGCAGTAGCTACTACAGAAACGATATCTCTTGTACTTCTTATCTTGGAGGGTGGACAAAATGAACAAACTGAAAATAATACTACAATGAACAGTAAATGATTAAAGGTTTACAGTACAAAAAATAGTGTAAAAAGGAAGACAAGTTTAAATATTGTTGTGTAAGAAAGGGATGAAAACAACACAAGGATGAGAATAAGTAAAATGATAGGCTGGAACATCTGGGAAAGTAAATACAAAGACACAGAGAACGGTTAATTAATAAAAAGGAAACCTCAACATTTCAACAGACTAAGCAGTGAAGCAGGATCTAATCCTGTAAAGGTGCTATGTGCTTATCTCCCATTGGCTTTAGTGGAAGGTCTGCATGCAGAATGCTTGCAGGGCTATGCCCCCAAATTACTGATTTAAATACCATATTTGTTTGTTCGTTTAGAAAACACTAAGTTATCAATTTTACTTACATAGTGTGAGCCCCTCCTTCAAATGCTCCATGCACAGGTCTCCTTTTAAATTAATAGGGGCTCTACATGTGCAGAGCAATTGGCTAGGTGACAGAACTGTTGAAAAGGATCTGGGGTTTATAGTGAGTCAACAGTATGATGCAGCTGTGAATAACGCTAACAACATTCTTGGGTGTATTAACAGGAGTGTTGGATATAAATCATGGGAAGTACTTGTCTCACTCTACTCAGCACTGGTGAGGCTTCAGCTGGAGTACTGTGACCAGTTCTTGGTGCCACACTTTCGGAAAGATGTGGACAAACTGGAGAGTGTCCAGAGGAGAGCAACATAAACAAGAAAAGGTTTAGAAACTGACCTATGAGGAAAGGATTAAAAAACTGGGCATGTTTAGTCTTGAGAAAAGAAGACTGGGGGAGGGGGCACCTGATAACATACTTGAAATATGTTAAGGGCTGTTATAAAGGGGACCGTGATCAATTATTCTCCCTGTCCATTGATGGTAGGATGAGAAGTAATAGGCTTAATCTGCAGCAAGGGAGATTTAGGTTAGATTTAGGTTAGAAAAAATTTCTAACTATAAGGGTAGTTAAACTCTGGAATAGGCATCCAAGGGAGGTTGTGGAATCCCCATCACTGGATTTTTTAAGAACAGGTTAGACAAACACCTGTCAGCAATGGTCTAGGTTTACTTGGTCCTGCCTTAGCACAGGGGGTTGGACCTAACTCTTTGAAGTCCCTTCCAGCCTTTTATGATTCTATGATTATAAATGCCAGATCGGGCCCATAATCTGGATGAGAATATGGTATAATGTCTTTTCCTTTTGTTAAAAGATGCAATGCATCCGGTCTCACTTTGATTTTATGCAGTGCAATGACAGTAATTGACTCTGTCTGTGACTTTCTGATACAAGGAAACAAATAATTAAATTAGTCAACATATGAATAAGAAATAATAGCTTTCAGCTTCACATGGCAACAATTCTGTCTGTAGGGCTAGAAGTACTGTACAAAGTTAATATAACCTAATATGAGACTTTCTAGGAAGGACCAATAGCAACATTTGAAGTTACTTATGTTAAGATTAGGGTAGTTAAATCTTATTCTTAAGGGCATAAGATGATAGTCACAGGGGTCAGGAAGGAATTATCTCCTTGAATTCAGCATGGCATAACACCGCATGTAGTATGGAGGAGTTCTGTTGTTTTTTGTTTCTTTTCCTTGCGCTGCAGCATAGGCTTGACTCACTCTAGATCAGGGGTCTCAAATACGCGGCCCATGAAGTTAGTTTCTGCGGCCTGCCAGCTCCCTGCAGCCCTCCCGCCCCCTCAGCGTTTACCTAGAGCAGCTCCAGCCCGGCCCGGTGGACACCTGGGGCAGGGCAGGCTCCCTGCCTGCCTGTCCTGTCCCCGCGCTGCTCCGGGAAGCGGCCAGAACCTGGTGGGGCGGGGAGCACAGGGGTCTGGCCCTGGCCACTCCTCCAGGTACCTCCCCCGAAGCTCCCATTGGCCACGGTTCCCCATTCCCAGCCAATGGGAGCTGCAGGGGGCGGTGCCTGGAGGTTCAGCCAGGGCAACACACAGACCCCTGTGCTCTCCACCCCCCCCAGGTTCCGGCCGCTTCCCGGAGCAGCGCGGCGACAGAACAGGCAGATGGGGAGCCTGCCCTGCCCCTGGTGCGTGCTGGGCGAGAGCCCACCCCCCGAACCCCTGCTGCAGCTGAACCCCCTGCGTACCCGACACCCATCCTGCACCCCAACCCCCTGCCCTGAGCCCCCTGCTGCACCCTGCACCTCTCCGGACCCCATGCCCTGAGCTCTCAGCCGCACCCCACACCCCTCCTGCACCTGGACCCCCTGCCCTGAGCCCCCTGCCACACCCCGCACCCCTCTAGCACCCCGATCCCCTGCCCTGAACCGCCTGCTGCACCCCACACCACTCCTGCACCCCCTGGGGGCAGGGAGGGTGTGGAGCTGGGGTGGGGATTTCAGGGAAGGGGTTGGAATGGGGGCAGGGAAGGGGTGGAAAGAGGTGGGGCAGGAGCGGGGCCTCATGGAAGGTGTGGAGTGAGGGTGGGGCCGGGGCAGCGGGGGAGGGGGCGGTCAGTGATGCGGCCCTCATGCCAATGTACTAGTCCTCATGTGGCCCTCGTGGTCATTTGAGTTTGAGACCCCTGCTCTAGATACAGTACACCATACTTCATTAACCATCTGATCTGTTAAAGCACTTGCTATATTCTATTCTACAGTTTGTTTTTGGTCATCACCTAGATTATGCTTCCATTTCACTCCCTCAGGCCAAAGAACATTTGTGCACTGACATTATTGGTGATGTCAGAACAACTCTGGCAAACACTGCCGCAAAGCCAGAATGTTCTGTCTCCCACAATAATAGTATCTACAGTATTTTGTTTATTTATTTTTTTAATGTTGAGGAGCCTGTTCTACAAACCCTTCCTTACATGAATAGTCATTACTCACACGAGTAGCCCCACTGACTCCATTAGGAGGATCAAATCCCATGTGACGGACTGGGGGATTTAAAATTAAATCATAGATATTTAGAAATGCATTATAGAGCAAATTAAAGGCTTAAACTATTTGGCAGTATCTTTTTACCTCTAGGCTGTAATAAGTAAAAAACTACCTGACTCACTGACAAAGGTTCATCTGCACTTCGGTCATCTGATGACTTTGGAACTTCTAGTCTGTCGATGAAAGTCTGGAGTTCTTTCCTAAATGCCTTCATCTGTGCATTGATTCGATAAAGAAGCTCATGCTCCCGAATCCTACTGCCATCATCTTCTTCATCCATGAGTCCGAATAGATCCCCATTGGCCACATAAATTCTTGCCTCAGTTATGATGGTACTCGTGTCAGAAATCAGACGATCTATCGTCTTGCCCAGTCGCTCGGCTTCAGAGCGGATGTCCTTCATCTGCTGCCGATCTGTGAAGCTCTTCTGCCACCCAGTTGGCGTAGGATAAAAAGACCTAGTGGGAGTCAGGCACCGGATATTGCGTACCTCCTCAGAGTCGCTTTCCCCTCCAATGGGACCTTCCCTTTTGCGGTGGGGAGGGCGGGAATCATCATCACTTTCTTTTTTCCCTGCATCACTTTCAGCATCACTGTCTCTGGGGCTGCCCCGGATCCCGAGGTGAGAGGCCAAATCATAGCGCTGCATGTTGGACATTAACACTCTGTTTTCATACTGAAGTTGCATGACTTTGCCACTGAGCTCATTGATTTGCATTCGGGCAGCTTTTAGCTCTTCTTGCAGTGCTTCCGTCTTGGCATTATCATGGTGCCTCGAGCTCTCATGGGTGCCAGACTTGTACTTGTATTTATTTAGCTCAGTTGTGATGCGCTTGTTTTGTTCCTCCAGGTCAGCCAAGTTTCTCCTCAGCAATTCTGTCTCATCTTCAACTAGCTGCAAATGCTGCCGTAACTCTGAGAGAGATTCGCTCTGTTCCCCCATGAGGGGATTTGCTGTTCCTGAGAAATCATCTCCTCTTAAATCATCAAGCTCTGCTTTCAGTCCTCTGTTTTCTACTTCCAGTTCTACTATTTTCCTTCCAAGGATGTTGGCTTCTTCCTCTACTAATCTCAATCTAAGTTTGAGTTCTGCTTCTCTTGTGGTAGGCGGTCCTCCAGCTTCACCTTTCGGTAAGGGACTGTCTAGATCCCCATAAAATGATCTATATTTTTGAAGCTCATGTTCAAATCTGTCTTTCTCCTTATCAATTTTAGCCATTTTTTTCCTCATAAGGGCAGCTTCTTCTTTAACAAACTGCAACTGGCATTTCAGATCTTCATTGTCCTCCTTAAAAAAAAATGAAAATAATTTTATGTCAATAAAGAGAGCATCACTTGAAATCAAACAACTTCAAATTAAAAGGTTAACAATAAAAGCAATATAACTTTAGAAGTTAAAATATGATTATAACAATTATTTTTCTACATCTGAAGATGAGATTAAGACAAAAAAAGCCTTCTTTCTTTGCTATGAAAGCCTGCTCTGTTCCCAGAAAACATACGTTTTCAGCAGCCTTTCATGAAAGACTAAGATTTTATTGGCTCATGATGGGTGGAAAGTGAAAAGAGAGTGAGAGGATACTTTCTAATCTTCGTACCCAACAGGCTGAAAAACCAAAATTGAAAGTCAGTTAAATAAGGCAACAGACCCATAAAAGCATCTCAAAGTCAGCACCCAAAGGGCCAAGTCCTGGAGTCCCGATTCAGATGAAACTCTTGTTGACATCAGTGGGAGTTTTGCCTTTCACCCGGATACTACAAATTGGACTTCTGAGCCCATGCGGAACCCTACTGCAGTCAATGCACAGGTCCACTTGTACTGTTGTCAATGCAGGATTGGGTCAGTTGTCAAGACTGCAGATTTGGGCCCAAGATCCCCATTTCCCAAACAGCAGTATGATATAATACTAAACGTCAAAACTAACAACAAAAACAAAGGGCCAGATCCTCCGTTCATGTAGACTGGGGTAGCTCCACAGAAGCCTCAAGCTGAGGATCTGGGCTGTTATTACTTCAACATACCTCAGTGGGTGTCTGCTGTGACTTTTTTTCTGATTTTTGCAAGTCTTTGCTCCCTCTTCTTTTCAATGACAGCTACAAAAAAGTGAGAGACATTGAACTTGTCACCAACCATGTATCTAATTCAGTCCCCTTTTCTAAAACATACCAAATCACATACAATTATTTGGACTGCTTCTTCTAATTCCTGTAATATCACAAACAAGGGAGATAATTCTACCTTAAAATAACACAATAGAAATGCTGTACAAGACATAGTAAAATAGTAACCACTCTTGGTTGCATTTTCAATATTCAAGCATCAAATAATAAATCCTTACAACATCCCCATGAGGCAGGTAACAAACTTATTATAATTCATATTGTACAGATGGGTAAACTGAGGCAAGAAATCCTGGCTTCATTGAAGTCAATGAAGTTCTGCCATTAACGTCGATGGGGCCAGGATTTCACCCAGGGAGCTTAAGTGACTTCTGCCCAAGGCCAAAGAAGGAATCAGAAACAGGCAGTTCCCAGAGATCAGGAAATTAGGCCTCCCTGCTTTCATTTAAAAATATTTAAAAAAATAAATTTTAACACTAGAGCTGGTGAAATAATTTGTTATGAATCAATTATCTGATGGGCTTAGTCCTCTTTTCTGTTGACTGTTTATTTGCAAACGAATCCTGATGTATGTGAAAGTATTAATTAGTCACAGGTATTAACCAAATTGTCTTGCTGGCCAGTTTTCAAGTAGTAGAGCGTTTGCAAATGGTTCACTATTCACAGAGTAGGATGGGTCACCAAAGTCACATGACATTGTTCTTCTGGCTGATTAGATAACTGGAAGCTTTTAAATATGGGAATTATAGACATGTAGGCCTGGAAGGGACCTCAATAGGTCATCTAGTCCAGTCCCCTGTACTGAGGCAGAACTAAGGTATGGTCTACACTACAGAGTTAGGTCGATGCAAGGCAGCTTATGTTAACCTAACTATGGAAGTGTCTACACTTAAATTTTGCTCCCACCAATGTAACTGCCCCGCTACACGGACTTAATAACTCCACCTCCATGAGCGGCACAAGTCAAGGCTGATGTAGTTAGGTTGATGCAGTATCAGCGTAGTACTGCACTGCTTATGTGGACAGTTACTGGCTTTCAGGAACCATCCCACAATGCCCAAAACTGACAGTACAATCCATACAAGCACTCCTGGTGAGGACACACACCACTGACACAAGAAACAAAGTAGACATGCACAAGCAATGTACAGTAACTCCTCATGAGTGAATAACTCCTCACTCATGCACCCACGAAAGCTTATGCTCCAATACATCTGTTAGTCTATAAGGTGCCAAAGGACTCTTTGCCATCCTCACTTAAAGTCGTCCTGGTTAACGTTGTTTCCTTGTTACATTGCTGATCAATTAGGGAACATGCTCATTTAAAGTTGTGCAATGCTCCACTATTACGTTGTTTGGCTGCCTGCTTTCTCCACAGCTGGCAGCCTCCCTACGCCCCCCACTCCCTCCCACCGCCTCCGCCTGCCAGCAGACCCCGTGGATCAACACCTTTCCCCCCCTCCCCCTCCACCTCCTGCCCACGGCAATCAGCTGGCTTGCAGCGTTTAGGAGGCAGGAGGGAAGGGGGAGGAGCGAGGACTCAGCGCACAGGTTCCCCCTCCTTCCTGAACACCGCAAACCAGCTGATTGACCCGTGCAGGAGGGGGAAGGAGGGGGAGCCTGCATGCCAAGTCCTCGCTACTCCCCCCCTCCCTCCTGCCTCCTAAATGCAGCAAGCCAGCTGATTGCCTTGGGCAGGAGGGAGGGGGGAGGAGCAAGGACTCAGCGCGCCTCCCCCCTCCCTCCCCTGCCTCCTGCCCGCATTCTCAAAACTACGATACCCGCACGAGGAAATAAGGAAACAGATCAGCAGAGCCAGACGTGTACCCAGAAGCCTCCTGCTGCAAGACAAGCCCAAGAAAGAAACCAACAGAACGCCACTGGCCATCACATACAGTCCTCAGCTAAAACCTCTCCAACATATCATCGGTGATCTACAACCCATCCTGGACAACGATCCCTCACTTTCACAGGCCTTGGGAGGCAGGCCAGCCCTCGTCGACAGACAATCCTCCAACCTGAAGCATATTCTCACCAGCAACTACACACCGCACCATAGTAACTCAAACTCAGGAACCAATCCATGCAACAAACCTCAATGCCAACTCTGCCCACATATCTACACCAGCGACGCCATCACAGGACCTAACCAGATCAGCCACACCATCACTGGTTCATTCACCTGCACGTCCACCAATGTAATATACGCCATCATGTGCCAGCAATGCCCCTCTGCTATGTACATGGGCCAAACTGGACAGTCCCTATGTAAAAGGATAAATGGACACAAATCAGATATTAGGAATGGCAATATACAAAACCTGTAGGAGAACACTTCAATCTCCCTGGACACACAATAGCAGATTTAAAGGTAGCCAACCTGCAGCAAAAAAACTTCAGGACCAGACTTCAAAGAGAAACTGCTGAGCTTCAGTTCATTTGCAAATTTGACACCATCAGCTCAGGATTAAACAAAGACTGTGAATGACTAGCCAACTACAAAAGCAGTTTCTCCTCCCTTGGTGTTCACACCTCAACTGCTAGAAGAGGGCCTCATCCTCCCTGAATGAACTAACCTCGTTATCCCTAGCCTGATTCTTGCTTGCATATGTATACCTGCCCCTGGAAATTTCCACTACATGCATCTGACGAAGTGGGTGTTCACCCACGAAAGCTTATGCTCCAATACGTCTGTTAGTCTATAAGGTGCCACAGGACTCTTTGCCACTTTTACAGATCCAGACTAACACGGCTACCCCTCCAATACATAATGCCTTTTGTCTGGCAAAAAAATATTTCCCTGGAACCTAACCCCCCCGCTATTTACATTAATTCTTATGGGGAAATTGGATTTGCTTAACATCGTTTCACTTAAAGTCGCATTTTTCAGGAACATAACTATAATGTTAAGTGAGGAGTTACTGTAATTACTGCAGCAGCTGTATGCCAATGTAAGTTAAGTCAACTTAATTTTGAAGTGCAGACATAGCCTAAGTATTATCTAGACCAGGGGTTCTCAATCTTTTTCTTTGTGAGCCCGCCCCACCAACATGCAATAAAAACTCCATGGTCCACCTGTGCCACAACTGCTTTTCTGCATATAAAAGCTAGGGCCAGCGTTAATAGGTAGCAAGCAGGGCAGTTGCCTGGGGCCCCATGCCACAGGGGCCCCCACAAAGCTACATTGCTCAGACTTCAGCTTCAGACCTGAGTGGCAGGGCTCAGGGCCTGGACTTCAGCCCCATGCAGCAGGGCTTTGGCTTTCTGCCCTGGGCCCCAGCAAGTCTAATTCTGGCCCTGTTTGGCGGACCCCCTGAAACCTGCCCCCAGACCCCTGGTTGAGAACCACGGATGTAGACCATACCGACAGGTATTCGTCTAATCTGTTCTGAAAAACCTCCAATGATGGAGATTCCACAATCTCACTAGGTAATTTGTTCTAGTGCTTAATTACTTTTACAGTTAGGAAGTTTTTGCTAATGTCTAACCTACATCTCCCTTGCTTCAATTTATGGCCATTACATTTTGTCCTGTCCTCAGTAGTTAAGGAGCACAATTTATCACATTCATCTTTAAATCAACCTTTCACATGCTTGAAGACCATTATCATGTCCCCTCTCAGTCTTCTCTTCTCCAGACTAAATAAATCCAATTTTTTCAATCTTTCCTCATAAGTCGTATTTTCTAGACCTTTAATCATTTTTGTTGCTCTGATCTGGACTTGCACCAATTTGTCCACATCTTTAGTGAAGTATGGTGCCCAGAACTACTCTCTGACTATGCTTTTTCAACCAGTTGTGCACCACCTTACAGTAGGTTCATCAAGGCTATATTTCTCTAGTTTGTTCATGAGAAGGTTATGTGAGACAGTACCAAAAGCCTTACTAAAGTCGAGATATATCACATCTACTGCTTCCCCCCATCCACAAGGCTTGTTACCATGTCAAAGAAGGATATTAGGTTGGTTTGACATGATTTTGTCTTGACAAATCCATGTTGATTTTCCTTATTTTCCTCTAAGTCAAGGGAGGCCCGCGGGCTGGATCCGGCCTGTCTGGGCTCTCAATCTGGCCTGCGGGATTGCCAGCCCAATGTCACAGCAGGGCTAAGGCAGGCTCCCTGCCTGCCCTGGCCCTGTGCTGCTCCCAGAAGCGGCTGGCACCATGCTCCTGCGGCCCCTGGGGGAGGTGGGGGCAGAGGGCTCTGTGTGCTGCCCTCTCCTACAAGCACCGCCCTTCACAGCTCCCATTGGCTGGGAATGGGGAACCCCACCCCATTAGTTACTGCCAGACATACTGACCACTTCCAGGAGAGGCACAGGGCCAGGGCACCTGCCTTAGCCCCACTGTGCACCGCTGCCACCCCAGAGCCGCTCGAGATAAGCGGCCCATACCCCGAATCCTTCCTGCATCCCAAGCCCCTACTCTGAGCCCCCTGCCACACCCCTACAACCTGTGCTGAGTCCCCTCCTACACTCTGCACCCCCTCCTGCACCCCAACCCTCTGCTGCACCCCACACCCCTCCTATACCCCAACCCCCTGCCCTGAGCCCCCTCCGACACTCCAACCCCCTGCCCTGAGCCCCCTATGCAACCCCAGGTAGTACTTAAATCTATCCCACCCTGGCATACTCCCTAAGGCAGGGCAGTAGTACTAACATGCCTGCCTTCCCTCTGAGGACATTCCCCTCTCTGGCACAAAGGGCCTCAGTGGCAGAGAGAGAAGAAATGTGCACTTCTCTACACCACTGGGTCAAGAATCCAGACACTACCTAAAATCAAAGCTAGCTTTGTTCAGTTTGAAGTCCATACCACATTATGGATCAGGAAACAATGGATCAGTATGTTGTACACACAACCCTGTGCATGACTCTACCTACAGGTCTCATTCATTCACCACCACCACAGCAGTCCCATAACAAACAAGATCCACAAAGTGCAGTGTAGCAAAACTAAAGAAAACAACATGTAAAT